AACCCCCTCCCCTTCCCCCTGGGGACAGACCTACGACGTTCAGAGTTATTCTAACCACTCAGACACGATGACGACACCTGCGTGACCCTCGACACGGCTCGACACGTGTTTCCACATTGATGGTGTTGGCTCACGCCACAGCCTAGACCACCAAAAAAGGAAGCATAATAGCTCCTTCACCCGACGTTGCTTCACCGCCCCCCTGTCTCTTGATGACTGCAGCCCATCTTCACAACAAAGAGCCATCGGGTTCACAATGTCAAGTACTGACTCGCGTCTGTCTACACAAGTCAGTGTTTTGATATTATCAGTGAGATAAATCGGCATTTGACTCGCTTGAGTCACTGTATTGTAAACACATGTTAATATAACTGGTTCACTCTCTGATGTTCAGTAAATTACTCGGCGTAGAGATTGCTGTTGGACCAGTTTTTTTTAACCAATTCTTCTATAAAAGACACGATATGTCAGTTAGTCGTTTGTTTTCTGTCAAAAAAAATGATGTATTAAAATCTAATGAAGGCAGTATTTGACTTACAACTTGGGATAGAGGAAGAGATGGGAAAATCATGAAATATATGATAGACGAATGACATTTTATATAGTCAAACGCTTGTAAATTATAGAGTGAAAAGATAAAATACATCATTTGGAGAGTTCGTGACATTCATTTGTATAAATGTTCAGATCAAAATACTATTTCTCTGTAACGTAAGTGGATGCTGCGAAGACCTTTGACATTGTATCAACGGGGAAACACTTCCCGTCTCTTAAATGTCTGGCCACTTTACTCACCCTTAAGTGACTGTTCCAAGGACACTTTGTAACCCTTAAACTATACTGTAGGAGACTCTCCTCATGCTCTGTGGAGGAGGTACTGAAGACACTCTGGGGCATCTCCCTACTAATCTCTGACTTATTAATCACTTCCTTGAAGGCTTCCTTAGGAATAGAAAATCATTTCAAAGGAGCTAATCATCCAATCACTCATCATCCAGTCTGGGGTTTGTGTGAATAACGAAGCAACATTTGTTTCAATTTTTCATGGACTGTCAACGTAAGTTGACCAGGCCACACACTAGAAGGTGAAGGGACGACGACGTTTCGGTCCGTCCTGGACCATTCTCAAGCCTTGAATCAAATCGACTTGAGAATGGTCCAGGACGGACCGAAACGTCGTCGTCGTCCCTTCACCTTCTAGTGTGTGGTCTGGTCAACATACTTTAGCCACGTTATTGTGACTCCTCGTCTACATGTCAACGTAAGGTAACTAAACATGTACCTTTATTAATGAAATAAATTTATCATTTATTTATGTATGATGTATTTGAGAGCTTCATGGGACAAGGTCACACACCCCCCGAATGGCCTTGATCACAGGCTACTTTATAAGTAACAGGAGAGGCAGAACCCTGGAAACACAAACCGAAACTGTCTCTATTTTCCGCTTGTTACAACTTGTAATAAAGTTGTTACAGCTTGGCTTAACGTGTTTATGACGTATTAGAACGTTGTTACAACTTGCTATATTGGTTGTTATAACTGGTTAGGAGGGGTTAAAACTTGTTCGAACGTTGTACCAACGTCGTAGTTTCGGTGTGTGTTTGGCGGGAAAACACTGTTGCAGCTCTTGCAATTCTATGCAACAACGAAGACTGGAACATAATATCTCCGGTGACTTGCACTATGCATTACACAAAGACTGAAGGAGGTTAAATAATTGACCTCTTGGCAAACGTCTGAACTGTTTCGGATGTCAGGAAGAGTTGAGATTGAGAAAGAATAGACATTTATAGAGGAGCTATAGAGATGGAATGATAAGGGAGATAAAGATGGAAAACTGGGAAGACTGAGAATATACAGATTGAAAGGGAAAAGTGAATGTAGAGAAACATGAAGAGAATATAGATAATACACATTAGACTGTAAATCATCAACTATATTGATGTCCCGTCTTGAGGAGCTTCGTTCACTGTAGCGAAGGAGGAGAGAAGGAACTCTTAACGAGGAAATGTATTAGCTGCTTGTCACCCAACAGCGGATGTAACCAATAGACATCTCGTGATAGAATGTATTGATACATTCAATATCCAATAGAATGTTTTGAATGTATTGAATGTATTCAGAGATTTTTTCATTCACCATTCACAACATTAAGAACATAAACAAAATGACAAGATATGTTCTTCAACTACGCCAGAATAATCTTGAAGATCTTATTGAGTCTTAAAGACTGTTGACATTTTTGTCCAATGATATCACAACACAGTGATATCTGTTAGAAAATATTTCGCGCCATATTGGGCCGTCAATCTATGCCATAGTGGCATAGATCCCGCGTCCCCTGGACTTCCCAAGAGGCCGTATGATGGGATTGAACCCTTGGACATTCCAGGAGGTCTTTCTCTGGAAAGATTCTTCCTCTTAATGCCTGTAATATTTCGGCCTAATAGAGGACCCGGGCGTCACACACACACACACCTGTGGGTGGACAGCCCAACCCTGAACCTGCCCCAGGAAGATGACCTGGGTTGCCTCTTGACCTTGACAGGTTTTCCTTTCAAACTGGAATTGCTGACCTTTCCAAAATAGGTCAGTCGTGCCTCGGTTCCATTGTTGCACTCGTCACAAGGGTTTTAAAAGGAGCAGAAATGATTCATGTAGCCTTCCTTCGCCCCCCCCCCTCCCCTTCTCTCTCTCTTTCTCTCTCTCTCTCTCTCTCTCATGCGTACTCCAAGGCTCTCCTTTATTAGAAAGTGATTTAATAGAGCAAGCAAGACACCTAACTCACACATCTGATAAGAAAAGAAGCGGCGACGTTTCGGTCCGTCCTGGATCACCAATGAGGACCGAAACGTCGCCACGTCCTAAACATAGGTTGAGTGTCTAGTATTCAGCCTCGTTATTGGAACTATATGGCAGCATTATACATACGTTAGCACACAGCCACGCCATCTTTGTATTCGACCCAACGACAATACATCGATATTGAGAACTGGACTTTCTAACCAAACTGGTCTAACCAAATTTAAACCAACATAGGTTAGAATATCATTAGGTTATGCTAACTTAATGTAAGCTAACCAAACTAGACCTAATCTAACCAAACATGACTAATCCAATGTCTTCTACTACTGAAAAGTGACCGATTGGTTGATCAGTGGCATTGACAGTCGTTTATTTCGCTTAAGTATCACTTGAAACAAGTTGCATTCGCCTCGCAACCGACTGGACCCGGGTTCTATTCCCGGGTGAGGCGAGACGCTTGGGTATATCTCCTCTCAACCTATTAACCTTGAAGTAAATAGATACCTGGGAGTTAGGGGATCGTTATGAGTTCTGTGACTGTAAAGCAAGTGACTGATCTTGTCAACCTGGAGTGGATTAGTCACTTGCCTATGAGGACATTACACCTGGTGTCTCTGTTTACTTGGCAGTAAATAGGTGCCTAACGGGCTTCCTCTCCCCGACAATGTAAATTCAATCTTACTTTGAACATATCTTCAGTTCACATAACAGGACTCTGACTCTAACTGGATTTACATAGGATTCTGACTTTCCTAATGTCTGCAGCTGATTTTCTCCGTTATAACAAACTCAAATTCCTAAGCCTTTTGTTTCTAAAATATCATGTTTATATTTCCGGCATAGATGATGGGGTTAGCAGGATAGGTGTAGCGATTATGACAAAATTTGATGGTCCGTCGGTGGATTATATCCGCAGGTATAGTGTGGACTGACATCCAAGGCAGTATGTTAGACTCCCCTTAAACATTCCGTTTTCTCTGTCTCCTTTCATAGAGTAGCGAGAGAAACTCTATAGGGGTAACTCCTTTAAAGCTACGACCAATCCTCTCCATAGTAATAATAATAATGAAGGTAATAATTTATTGTCGGGGGACAGGCAGCTAATATATATAATATCTGTTTGATCTATTTCACTATATTACATGCAACAGCTGGAGGATTATGAACCAATGGGAAGGAGGGAGTAGATATAAAATTTACAAAATATATGTTGTGTTTATCCATCATGGTATAAACTCGAACGATTCTCAAATACAACAATTAAATATGGGTAACATCAGTGGCGACTGTGTGTGTGTTGAAGAGTTCTGTAAGCGAATGTGGTAAGCGAGGGTATATAGCTTCCACGGTAGTTACTGTGGCGACAGGTAGTTCTTCAGTGGGACGTGGACTCTTTTATTAACATTGATAAGTAGGGAGTCGGGCCGCTAAACTATAAAGCCATCATTCTACCAGCCAGGCCAAGATGGCCGCAATATGGCTATCAGAAAGTAGCTAACTGTGAACAAATCCACAAAGGCCGTGACGAGGATTCGAACCTGCGTCCGGGAGCATCCCAGACATAATCAAAATATCCTGGTTTGTGCCTCGGAGAGGCTGCAGGATCCAGTAAGTTCAGTAGGACTTCGGTTTCAACTTTTTTAACCCTGTCGTAGCTCAGTCGATTAAGGCAGCGTCTGGGATGCTCCCGGACGCAGGTTCGAATCCTCGTCACGGCCCTTGTGGACTTGTTAATTGGATACATCACGTTAGTATGATTTCTGTGTGTAGCTAACTGTATCCAGCACCAAGACTATACCACGGATACTTGAAAGAAGGAGGAGGCAAATTACCTCTGTAGTCTGCACCAGCTCACTGTATCAAGCTTCAGTATACAGTACCGGAAACCTGTACACTGCACTGGGTGCTTGTACTCTGTACCGGCACGTTTGAACTGTACCGGGGACTGAATTCTCGATATCTTTTCAACTCTTAAATTGCGTAATTATTTATCGCGTACAGAATCTAGACTAGAGCAATGTAACGGTAAGTGGGTCATTGAACACGAGAGAATAGTTGAGGTTCAAGAAATGTTTATTATAACATGGTATAACATAGATATTCAAACAAAACAATTATAATCAGCTGCAGTAGAGACTGTGTTGAACAGTTCTCTAAGCGAATGTGGTAAGTCACAGTAGCTTCGACGCTAGTTACTGTGGCGACAGGTAGTTCCTTTGTGGAGCTGGGACAGGCGCAGGAGCTGCGTACTGGTTAGATTGGGCAGTACCGGAAGCGGAGGCATATGGGTTATAGCTGTTGCTTCCGGCAGCGGCGGCGGCGGCTTCCTGACGAGCCTTCTCGATCTGGGCGATGGCGTGGGCGGGGAGAGGCGGGGGCGTGGGCAGCAGGGGAGACTCCACGCGGTAACCTGCACCGTCGGCCACAAAGGTGAAGGCCGCGGGTGTGCCGTCGGGGAAGGTGAACCTGTAGGGAGTCAAATCTGGTTATCTAAGGTTCGTCACTCACGCCTCTGGCAGGAGGGTTAAAACCGGCCCTCAACCTGCTTTTTTGCGGGTATTTTGATTGTGGGTATTGGACCGCTGTGTGTGTTGCATGCGTGTCTCACACAATTTGGAGTGCTGTTAACCCTTAGAGTGCGGCTAACGTTAATTTGTGTTGTTCAGAGGCTTTTGTCAGTTGCATATTAACACATCCTGGGCAATACAATACGGGCACAAGACAACAATGCTTCAAATGCCCAACAAGGAGGCAAGAAAAAGATTATGTATCTGTGGCATTTCGTAAACAGAAATTAACATAGACTTTACAGACGTCGTTGCCTCAGAGGGCACTAGTGAGGCCTTCCCATCGAATTAAAAAATAATACCTGAAGACCTTCCCGGCAAACACACACCGAAACTACGACGTTGGTACAACGTTCGAACAAGTTTTAACACCACCTAACCAGTTATAGCAACCAATATAGCAAGTTGTAACAACGTTCTAATACGTCATAAACACGTTAAGCCAAGATGTAACAACTTTATTACAAGTTGTAACAAGCGGAAAATAGAGACAGTTTCGGTTTGTGTTTCCAGGGTTCCTGCTCGTGTGTAACAATAACAGTCAACCATGTGTGTGTGAGATACTCACGACCATCCTCCCTGAGATGCCACGGCGCCGGCAGGACCCTGCGGGGCGCCCTGCTCCTGACGACTGATGCCGTCACTACTCTCGAAGATGAAGCTGTAGGCGCCAGTGGCGTCAGGTCCTTGGCGTTCGTCCCTCAGGATCCCGATAGGTGCGGTTCTGGCTCCGGATAGCTGGAATGTAGCAGGGGTTTGTACCGGGGCCTTGTAGGCTGGGGCAGGGGTTTGTACCGGGGCAAGTGCTTGTACCGGGGCATTGTTGGCTGGGGCAGGGGCTTGTACCGGGGTATTGTAAGCTGGGACAGGGGCATGTACCGGGGCAGGGGCTTGTACCGGGGAATTGTAGGCTGGGGCAGGTGCTTGTACCGGGGCATTGTTGGCTGGGGCAGGGGCTTGTACCGGGGTATTGTAAGCTGGGGCAGGAGCTTGTACCGGGGCAGGGGCTTGTACTGGGGCATTGTAGGCTGGGGCTGGGGCTTGTACCGGGGCAGGGGCTTGTACCGGGGCATTGTAAGCTGGAGCAGGAGCTTGTACCGGGGCAGAGGCTTGTACTAGGGCATTGTAGGCTGGGGCTGGGGCTTGTACCGGGGCAGGGGCTTGTACCGGGGCATTGTAGGCTGGGGCAGGAGCTTGTACCGGGGCATTGTATGCTGGGGCAGGGGCTTGTACCTGGGCATTGTAGGCTGGGGCAGGGGCTTGTACCTGGGCATTGTAGGCTGGGGCAGGGGCTTGTACCGGGGCATTGTAAGCTGGGGCAGGTGTTTGTACCGGGGCATTGTAAGCTGGGGCAGGGGCTTGTACCGGGGCATTGTAAGCTGGGGCAGGTGCTTGTACCGGGGCATTGTAAGCTGGGGCAGGGGATTGTATCGGGGCCTTGTAAGCTGGGGCAGGTGCTTGTACTGGGGCATTGTAAGCTGGGGCAGGGGCTTGTATCGGGGCAGGGGATTGTATCGGAGCCTTGTAGGCTGGGGCAGGGGCTTGTACTGGGGCATTGTAGTAGGCTAGGCCAGGGGCTTGAACTTGGGCACTGAAGGCTGGAGTCTGGGCACCATAGTTGTACTGAGGAGCCGCGCCGGCCACTGCCACCAGGAAGAGGATAATCTGTCGATGAGAAAGAAATGCTCCCTAAACGCTTCTGTTAACACTATTATGTTAGCGATGTTTACAGGTGTTCTGGTCGCCCCTGTAGTTGTGACATACCTCAAAAACAATTTAAACTGTTCCCCAGATACGTTTATGGAATATATATATATATATATATATATATATATATATATATATATATATATATATATATATATATATATATATATATATATATATATATATGTCGTACCTAGTAGCCAGAACTCACTTCTCAGCCTACTATTCAAGGCCCGATTTGCCTAATAAGCTAAGTTTTCCTGAATTAATATATTTACTATAATTTTTTTCTTATGAAATGATAAAGCAACCCTTTTCTCTATGTATGAGGTCAATTTTTTTTTATTGGAGTTAAAATTAACGTAGATATATGACCGAACCTAACCAACCCTACCTAACCTAACCTAACCTATATTTATAGGTAAGGTTAGGTTAGGTAGCCAAAAAAAGCTAGGTTAGGTTAGGTTAGGTAGGTTAGATAGACGAAAAAACATTAATTCATGAAAACTTGGCTTATTAGGCAAATTGGGCCTTGAATAGTAGGCTGAGAAGTGCGTTCTGGCTATTAGGTACGACATATATATATATATATATATATATATATATATATATATATATATATATATATAATATATGTCATTTCAAGGCTATAGTATATCAACCACTTTGACTGTTTACACATCAGAACGGCGTTCAGGAACCTGTGTAAGGAATCATTCAGAATCTTGTACACCACATATGTAAGACCAATCCTGGAGTATGCGGCCCCAGCATGGAGCCCGTACCTTGTCAAGCACAAGACGAAGCTGGAAAAAGTCCAAAGGTATGCTACTAGACTAGTCCCAGAACTAAGAGGCATGAGTTATGAGGAAAGGCTGCGGGAAATGCACCTCACGACACTGGAAGACAGAAGAGTAAGGGGGGACATGATCACAACCTACAAAATCCTCAGGGGAATCGACCGGGTAAACAAGGACGAACTTTTCAACACTGGTGGGACGCGAACAAGGGGACACAGGTGGAAGCTGAGTACCCAAATGAGCCACAGAGACGTTAGAAAGAACTTTTTCAGTGTCAGAGTAGTTAGCAAATGGAATGCATTAGGAAGTGATGTGGTGGAGGCTGACTCCATTCACAGTTTCAAATGTAGATATGATAGAGCCCAATAGGCTCAGGAATCTGTACACCAGTTGATTGACGGTTGAGAGGCGGGACCAAAGAGCCAGAGCTCAACCCCCGCAAGCACAATTAGGTGAGTACAATTAGGTGAGTACAGCAAGTGTTGGCAAAACCATAGAGGAGGTCGACTCGGATGGACTCCGGTCTCGGCCGGTGTCGAGGAGGACCTGCCTCACCTTGTTCATGCTGCCCTAGTCGTTACTTCCACTGTGATGTTTCCTGGCGCCTCACGCCCATATATATATGTCCAGAAAGGTGCCCTCTCCAAGGTCGCTCCAGATCTGTGAAGGAGAGGCCGGCCAGGCTGCAGTGGTCCAAGCCTCCAGGATCTCTAGTAGAGAAAGGGAACACTCTCTCGCTCATTTTCAACTCAAAGTGCATCTTTGGTCAGCAATTTTTACATAACCATAAGGTACAGGGTCTAAACTTGGCCGAGTCTGAGCGCAAGAGATGGAGCTGATTACAATCTGAAGCTGTTTACAGGACTTAAATGGTTGTAACGAGACTCCCGCGTGTGAAAGGCTTTCTGACAAGATCAGGAAGAGACGGTGGAGTGGACTCGACGGGCGGAAAGTGTTGTGGTGAAACGGGAAGAAGCTTCTGAGGGTGTGAGGGGCGGCTGCCTGTGGCTGCCATGGCAGGTCTTCTGCAGCAGCCACAGAACTTCTCTACTTGTGTAACTTCTTGCATCATTGCCTTTCTTGCATGCTTCCCTTCCTACCGGCTTGCCTACTTAACTACCCATCAACATACGTGACAACTACCCTACCTGCCTACCGAGATGCATAGAAACGTAACTGCCTATTTACCTACCTACCTATTTATCTACTTACCCACCTACTTGCCTCTGAACGGCCGGCGCACCTCTCCTCATAAGGTCCCCAGAGGAATTACTCTCCTAAGTTCAGACTCACCGGCTCGGTGTCCCTTGACCTCATTACACGATTAGGGTCCAAGACCTGATAAAAGTATGTACCCCTCTACGTCATAGTCTACGTCACTTTCAAGTCCAGAGATCCCATCACAATGGTTGTACTCTTCAAGTCACTTGTGCTGTCCCGTCTTGAGTACTGCTCAGTACTCACTTCCTCCTTCAGAGCAGGAGAGATTGCTGAAATAGAGGGAATACAGAGAACATATTCGGCACGCATAGACGATATCTATGGGTATTTCAGTTATATAATTTATGAAACCAATTATAAACATTTCTCCAGTTTAATTATCTTCACATTTAGAGTGAGGTTAGATGACCCGAATTGTCTTGGAGAGACACTTTAGGGTTTACAGGTTGCCAAGTTGGGCGTCGTGGTGGACGGTGTATTGGGTGAGGGAGAGGTGGCCCTGGTCTAATATCTGGTTCTCAGGCGCTAATGTGCACATTTCTGGTGATTTATGTACGTGTGTGTGTGTGTGTATGTGTGTGTGTGTGTGTGTGTGTGTGTGTGTGTGTGTGTGTGTGTGTGTGTGTGTGTGTGTGAGAGAGAGAGAGAGAGAGTGAGAGAGAAAGAGATTACCTATATGTAGTTACAGGATGAGAGAGAGAGCCGTTCGTGGCGTGCGATCTAACTCTACTATCTTCCCTACATGAGAGTTGTAGAGTTTCCACACAGGTGGAAACAGAGTGCCCAAATGAGCCACAGAGATATTGGAAATAACTTTTTTAGTGTCAGAGTGATTGACAAATGGAATGCATTAGGAAGCGATGTGGTGGAGGCTGACTCCATACACAGTTTCAAGTGTAGATATGATAGAGCCCAATAGGCTCAGGAACCTGAACACCTGTTGATTGACGGTTGAGAGGCGGGACCAAAGAGCCAGAGCTCAACCCCCGCAAGCACAACTAGGTGAGTACAACTAGGTGAGTACACACACACACACACACACACACACACACACACACACACACACACACACACACACACACACACACACACACACACACACACACACACTCACACACACACACACACACACAGCTAAAGTGGTTTGGTTACTTTCATTTTAGCCCTATTCCTATACAAAAACCATCCTTTCACCTATTCGTATCTGTTAACGAACTCGACCAATCCGTTAAAAATGCGACGTATTAATAATAATAATGAAATCACCGTAATACTGGCGTATCCTATGCATCGGCCTCGATAGGTTAGGTGGGTTGCTTGGGTTCGTATGTTCCTGGTTAGAGAAAACAGTTGTATTCTTTACGGAGTGACAAATGGAGAGGCCCCACGTATGACCTCATTAGTCCGGGTATCTCGCCCACTTGATCCTCCTCGTCCCACTGTGTGTGGTGTCCGGTATACTGTTGACAGCATTCCTACCTGTGAGCGTCAGACTTCTGCTCGCCTGGGCCCTTACCTTACCTTGAGGTGCTTCCGGGGCTTAGCGTCCCCGCGGCCCGGTCGTCGACCACGCCTCCACCCCCAGGAAGCAGCCCATGACAGCTGACTAACACCCAGGTACCTATTTTACTGCTAGGTAACAGGGGCATAGGGTCAAAGAAACTCTGCCCAATGTTTCTCGCCGGCGCCCGGGATCGAACCCGGGACCACAGGATCACAAGTCCAGCGTTCTGTCCGCTCAGCCGACCGACTCCCTCGGGAGAGACATGATTACTATATAAAACATCATGAAGGCAATAGACGGTGCAGACGAGGACTGACTGTCTAGCGTGGGTGCTTCAGGAACAAGGAGGTCGGGTGAGCTGAGATGGAAACTAAATACGCACATGGGCCACAACGCCACTAACAGTGAACAAGTGTAATGCAAGTGAGGGAGTGGAGACGGTCATCTTTGGGTTACCCTTTCGTTGGTTCAGAGAATCACCGGTCCAATAGCTGGGTCGCTGACCGGGCACCACGTCAAATGTAGAAATAGAACCCAATCGGCTTCGAAACATCTACTCAAGTTGATTAAATACTAAGAGACGGAACCAAAGAGCTTTGTCTCAACCCCTAAAGTACAACCAAGAACAACTAGGTGACTGTGGACACACACACACACACACACACACACACACACACACACACACACACACACACACACACACACACACACACACATTAGGGCCTCGCGGCTGAGGGGACAGCGCTCTGGGGCCGTAGTTCTGGGCCCGGGATCGATTCCCGGCAGAGGCAGAAACAAATGGGCAGTTTCTTTCACTCTGGTCCCCCTGTTAACCTAGCAGTAAATAGATACCTGGGAGACAGTTGCTCCGGGTTGCGTCGTGCGGGTGTGTGTGTGTGTGTGTGTGTGTGTGTGTGTGTGTGTGTGTGTGTGTGTGTGTGTGTGTGTGTTAGAGAGAAATATATGCTGTAGACATAATAGAGGAAAAATAAATTGGTTCAAGAGCTAATAGCTCGATTCGGCAGATACATATAGTTATCAAAATAGTAAATATATACACATACACACACAATGCTTTACAATATTAATATTCAAACGTTCTATGTGTAACATTTCCTTGAACTGTCCTGACATGGAAGTTAATTAAGTGAAAGTTTGTGCTATTCTGTGTGATTGTGTTACAGTCGACCACTCATATTACAGGGCACAAGCTGATTGAGAACACACACACACACACACACACACACACAGTCGAAGCCGGAGGAGCCGAAGCTCGACCACCGTAAACACAACTAGGTGAGTATACAAAGTAGAAGGGGAGGACGCCATGGCCTTGCCCGGGTGACAGAGGCCCCCATCTTCACTACATGCTATACTCATCCCTGTGACCATCATCACTGTGACTATCACTGCCCGAGCAACGTTGGGCTTCATTCTACAAGCTTCCCTACTCTTCACCATATTCTCTTCCCTCCAATCTCAGTGAGGATGAAGCCTTTTATTTAGCAAGGTTGAAAATTGGTAGATTTGCTATTTTACGTGATGGAAAGAACATGGGTTCGACCCCCGACCCACTATGATGATCCCCCGACAAAGACCTGTTTATATATATATATATATATATATATATATATATATATATATATATATATATATATATATATATATATATATATATGAGTTCTTACATTCTTGTACAGCCACTAGCACGCATAGCGTTTCTGGTAGGTACTTAATGCTAGTTTTCATACACACATTCCCCAGAAAATATCAAGTTGCAAGTATTTATATGTAGACATAACTCTATTTTTAAATCGCACTAATAAGTTTCTGAACATTAGAAGATATTGAGCATCACAAGAGAACTGATGACGCTATAACAAATTACAATCTGTGCAATGTTCGCTCTTCATTGCTAACTTGACCACCGAGAAAGATTTCTCATTCACGCGTTGAGAAAGCTTGATCATTGGCAGTGTTAACTATGTTGTACGGGATCAGGTCACCAAAGACTATACAAGGAGGAGAGTTACCAGGTCCTCTTCCGAGTATGTCTAAGGCTATCTAGAAACTTTCTGCTAGATAGTCCTTAATATTAGGCACTTGTGCTCTCAAATGAGAACTCAAAGTGCTCACACGATAACTTAATACTTGGATTTTTTTGTGATCTCTTGAGTAGTCTAAAGTTTGACATTAATATTGCTTATAAGAACACAAAACGCGAAAGAATTAAATATGAATTTAAACTCTGAATTGTTGTTACACATGCTTTATTGGCAAAAGTTGTCATACTCGCACGTAAGGCAAATATTACATTAATAATTTAAAGATAGTTAAAAATAATAAGGTCAATAAATAACAACGTTTAAGTATTACATAACTCCTAGGCAGTCGAAAACCTTGCCAGGTACATGAAGCCAGGAACCTGGGTAAGACATGTGGTGTTCCCAAGATGCAAGAAGTAATAAATAGAGAAGACTCGATCACTGGAAGCATAAGATTTTTCTTATCTTTAGCACAAGATAAGGACGAAAGCTGAGAAGTCAAGAATGTTGGATTGAAAGATGAAGAATTAATCTGGCTGCCTGCAGTTATATCAGAACTTAATATAAAAAGTTAATAATTAAGACCTCAAACCCTGATTTTCTTGAGAAGGCTAATGACAGGGTACGTAGACTCCTCCATGTCTCTCTAGACTGCAGTGTGCTCCCATGCAGTCTTTTTCTTAAACAAAGACAGTCAAGCAGGCACCTAAGGTTAAACGTAATTGGTCGGTGGTGCAGGGACGGAGTACCCTGGTGCAGGGGGAGAAGCGGCTGCAGCGGCTGCAGCTTCTGCCTCCTTTTTAGCTGCCTCGATCTGGGCAATGGCGTGGGCAGGCAAGGGCGGACCCACGGGCAGCAGGTCGGACTTCACATTGAAGCCATTAGCGTCGGCCACGAATGTGAACTGACCCGGAGTCCCGTCGGGGAAGGTGAACCTGTGGCCAGGAGACAACAAAAGACGCAGGTTTACAACAGACATGTGTACTACTTCCTATATATGATAACGTTCACCGTGCAGGGAATTATAATTTCCACGACCCGCCAGGTTGAGCAATGTGTGGCGAGTCGTTTATCATCATGAGATTTAATCCACAGTATAGTGTGAACAATACAAAACACTTGCAAGAATGCAAGTGTTTTCCGGCTAAAATTGTAAGTCTCTAGTCTGGCATTCTAGACGGTTACACTGACTGGCTTGTGTAGGCTCACTCTAGTAAATGCAGCTACCTTCACTGACAGGCACTCAAGACAGAACCAGTGAGTGGAAGGTGCCAGTCTCTACTAAGTGGGACATTATTCTAGCCAGACTGAGGCGTCGAGGGACACGGATACTCACGACCATCCTCCCTGGGTAGCCACGGCGCCAGTCTCTCCCTGGGGGGCGCCCTGCTCCTGACGACTGGTGCCATCAGCACTCTCGAAGTTGAAGTTGTATGCTCCTGCCTCGTCAGGTCCCTCGCGCACGTCAACTAGGATCTCAACGGGGGGTTTTGGGGCGGCTACTGGAGCGCCGTAGGGTGGTGGAGGTGGAGGAGGTGGTGGTGGGGGAGGTCCGTATGTTGGTGGAGGTGGTGGTGGAGGAGGAGGGGGTGGTGGTGGTGGTGGTGGTGGAGGGGGTGGAGGTGGGGGTGGTGGTGGAGGGGGTACAGAATACTGGGGAGCGGCGATCGCCACCGTCAGACCCAGCAACAACAGCGTCAGCTGAAATAAATGAAAACTAAATGTTTAGCCGTCTAGCTATTGTCACTGGCAGTGGAACTAGAGAAACACATGTAGGGTATTAACCCTTAAACTGCTACATATACCAGTTGGTATATGGTGGTATACAGACATGTCACATCCAATACAACTTTAGCACTAAAGGAAGCAGAGTATAGTTCTAATTATTTGTCCCTTATATTGCCGAGAATTACATCTCCTTAGATGATATTATAATCATATCATAATAATATGATATAATATTATTATGATATATAATAATAATAATAATAATAATAATAAATCTATTAATAATAATAAATCTATGGTAAACTGCTCCTCTGGTGAACCCATATCAGGAAATTCCGTTGGTCAACTCGGTGGACAGAGGCTGTTACACTCTGTGAAATATAACATTTAAAGAATGGAACTGGGTCTTCATGTTGGGTGAGCAATTGAATGTGTGGTCAAGACGTGTGTGTGTTGGAGATACCGACACAGACAGCAGCCATAAACCAGTACGACTTCTAGCTACTCATTACAACTAACGTTTGTGTTCCAGACAACAAACAGCGCCAACTAACTCACAAGTGCGGTACAGCGAACGATAAGACAATGTAGCTGACTGGAGAACACAGCTGACTATGTCCCCATTGAGGGACAGCATGTGTTGCACAGTATCCCACCAGTCTACTGAGGGCAGGAGTGTGTTTCACAGTCGCTAACTTACCACCTTCATCCTGCTGATGATCCCGGGGTGACAAGTGAGGCTCTTCATCCTGCCTAGCTCTTATATAGCTGGAGGTGGCTGGAGTTATTTTATTATTAACATCTTTATTGACAAAATTAATTACAATTTTGCCTAATCTGAGGATTTTGATAGTCTTATTAAATTGAGGATAATGCTAGTATTCACTGTCACGCAGGACAGAGGGTCATACATAAGACAATAGGCCTAAACTGTAGGCTGAAGCACATATATATCACGGTTACAATCAATGTTTTAATGTGTGGATATGTGAAAACAACTTTCTATTGTGCACTGCCACACAAGTGCAGGGATGGGTTCATAAGTGATACAGCTTAGAATATAAGTAGAAATTGTTCTTCATTCTTTAAAATGGACAAGCAAATTTTGGGTAAATTGTTAGGATGTCGTCCAGAACACCTGAGTCAATAAAATAGTTACACAGTTGGTGGTACAATAGGCCAGGAGGTCTAAAGTCCTTTACGGTTTCACATTCATCAATATAGTGTTCTAGTGAATGCATTAAAGGTTTATCACAGAGTTTACAATCTGAATATTCTGGTAGTGGCTCAGCCTCACTAACCTGCCAGATGTGTCTATAGCCAAGGCGAATTCGCGCGATTACTACATCACATTGCCTGGTCCGGTTACTGTGCTGACCATACAAATACCTATTATTACAGAACTTGTCATAACTTTTAATACTGCAGCTTTCAGGTCTCTGTGCATTTCTTAGTTCTTCTAAATCTGAATTAATTTCTTTAATTTGTATGTTTCTAATAACTGCATTAGATAGTCCAAAATCATAATCAATGTTTTCTTTCCTGCAAGCCTCATTGGCCAATTGATCTACAAAGTCATGTTTTTCAACTCCAACATGGGATGGGATCCACACAAATTTTATACAAGAATTATTATCATTGGCAAAAATTACATTCCATTTAATATTACAAGCTACTTCCGACATACATTGTGATGGGTTATTTAAGGACTGCAGAGCACTTTTAGAGTCACAGAAAATAACTCCACCACCATTGAGCTTAAGGTATTCAGTGGCTAGATAAATACCCAATAGCTCGGTCTGTGTCGTGCTTGCCCAGTTGTTCAATCTCTGTGTACTAGTCATGATCATTTCATTGGCTGGAGTGATTGTCTTTGAGCCGCCACGAGGACGTGGCCTGCATGCCTCTGTCCTCAGGTGCTACAATCTCTATGTATATTCACCTACAAGTTCTCACCTAGATGTACTAGACTCAATATACTCACCTAGATGTGCTCTCCTTGATGCGTTTGCAGCCTTGAGGATTTATTCCTTCTATGCAGTAATTTGTTCACCAGTTTTTGTCATATTTATATTTACAACTGCACCAAAGTGGCCTCTACACCGTCCTCGTCTAGTACATTCTATTTATTTATGAAATATAAACTGAAAAAATTTCTTTCTAACCTCTCTGATTCATTTGTCTCCAGCTTACAGTTTTTACATCGTGCTACTGTTTTTTACTTTGAACGTTGCTCTCCCTATCTACTTGGCCAATTCCCTTAAGAATCTTTACATCGGTATCATGTCTACTCTATTCATTATTGACTTCACTGAAGAGAGGTATGGTTTCCGCTGCCTTTCTTCACAACTTAGTCCCTTTAGCTCAGGAACGAGTTTTGTTGCATTTCTTTGGACCATTTTTTGTTTTATTATCTGTTTCTCTAGGCACGGGATTTCCATGCTCGAACAACATACTTAATACGTCTCTCATACTTAACACGTCTCTCACACTTAACACGTCTCTCATACTTAATATATTTCTCATACAAAATGTCTCTTATTCTTAATACGTCTCGCATAAGATGTATATATAATATGCAGACGATGAATCAAAATAACGTGGCGGATGATATGATGACCAAACCACACAACCAGAAGATGGAGAAACGACGACGTTTCGGTCTGTCATAGACCACACGACTTAATAATGGTCCAAGATGGACCGAAACGTCGTCGTTTCTCAATCTTCTGATGTGTGGTTTAGTCATGTATATATATAATATGCTTGGAATTCTTGTGTACAAGATCCTGAAGTCTACCTGGGCGTGTACGTACGAGTTTGACACGTGCTGCAGACGTTAGTTCTGTGGAAGTGTACTTCTGGTGTTAGGTTTAGGGTACTGGACCTCTACTGCCACTTGTTGCCTGATGCTCTCAATGTCCATCTCAATCTGTATGAAAATCAGGTTTTGCCTTACTGGCTGGTTTTACTGTCTTTGTGTTTCCTTCTTAACATGATGCAACAGGAAGTACCTTTCTGCTGTTTCCACTAGTTTCGCTCTCAGTATCTCTTCCTCTCTCCTCCTTTGGTTCCCAGCTAATTTAACCACGATTGAAATTTCCAATAACTGACAGCTTCGCTTTGTATCTAACGCATATTTTGTCCAGACTTTGGATGATATTTTTGCAAACTCTGTAATCTTATGTGGGTCTTCTGATGTTCACTGATGAATTATTTATATTTCTCCCTTCACTTGTGATTGCTGCGACATCCTGTGCATGCTTGGTCTCTACTGATCTCGTTAATGCTCCCGTCTCTTCTACCCAGCACTGCTGTTCCCCTACCTCCTCCCCTGCTTTCTTTCTCATCACGCTGTCTGGTTATTTCTTGGGATTATTGTGTTGTGATCATTTCAGTTATTTTAGCTTTAACTAGTATATTGGTTGTGGAATTGTGTCCTTTCTTTAATTTAATTTACAGTGTTTCACGCTCCATCGTCGTTAGTGTACCAGATTTTTCAGTTCAATTGTGTTACTCTGTTCTCTGTCCTGGCAGATCCTGACCTAGATGTTGGGGTACTTGGTTCAGGTGCAGAATGTGGGACGAGATGGAGGCGGGGGGGGGGGGGGAGGGAGGAAGCAGAGCTTTGAAGTGCAGGGCAGCGAAGAACTGCTGTTTGGTAGAGTAAGGTGTAAAGAGAGACGATGTGGTCTTGGCAGAGTAGCGATGAAGATATGTTTTGGTGGGCAGGAATTGTTATGGAGGATTGAGGGGGAAAGAGATGTTCCATTAACCTGGGTTCGAGGAGACTCGAACCGTGAACACCACGTGTGTAAAGCCGAAGCTCTATTGGCCTCGCATCTCATTTTTTTTTTTTTTTTTTTTTTTTTGAGTGGGGGGCAAAGAGAGATGTTTAGTGGTAGAGGATTCTTGGCAGAGGTTTGCTTTAAGAAAGCATGTTGTTATGGCGCCTTGACTTTGTTCTCTGTCGACTCTGGTTTGTGTTAGTAACTGTCTGCTGGCCTGGGTTACTCTTCTATATTATCTTGCTTTCATGTTATCATTTCTTCTGGTTTCTTACTCTTAACGAGACTGGACGGGAGAGCGAGTCTCACTTCATGCAGATCCGCGTTAAATCCCTGACCGTCTAAGTGGATTGGACTCCATTCCTCCCCTCCCCAACCCCCACCCCCCCCCCTCGATCCCATTCCAGTTCCTTCTCCTTATCCCTTCCAAGTGCTATATAGCCGTAATGGTTTGGCGCTTTATCCTGATAGTTCCCTTCCCTTCTGATAGGATTGCATTCCCTGTCTGCTTTCTAATGTTTATGGAGTTTGCTATTTGCAACCTCCATCATCCTTTCTAACTACCTTACTGCTTTTGTAAATACTTCGTCTCATTTGTTCCCATTTTCAGGTTCAGGTCCTCAAATTTATCATCGATGGGTTTTAACATCGCTTGACATTTGCCATTATTAAATGCTTCCTTGGCTTTGGTTTTCCGAATTTTATATACAAACTTAGCAAGTTCTCTTTGACATTTCTCATTCCTGTTTACAGGTCATCCTATAGGTACTCATATAGTACAAATTTCCTATCCATTTCTGCAGTCAATTTATGCAAGCTCTCTTAATGCTGTTTATCTTTAACAAGCTTTCAAAGCTGTCAGGCAACCAGCGTCTGGTAGGCACCAGACCTCAGAGGCCAGAGCTTGGCACCAACAGTTGATTAATATACCTTGGCACTGTGCGTGTGACTTCTAAATTATTTGTGCAGAGTTGCACTTCAGCTCCTGACCCCGCCTTGTAAGCGCTATTTGAAGGCACTGATTCAGTTCCTGAGTTTCTTATATTCCGTTCACGGCAAGAAATTATATGGTCATATCACGTCTATTATTCGTCTTGGGACTTTATGATGGTCCGTTGTGTTAGGGACTTGTGGCCGCATATCAGTTCTCAAGTTATCCATAACATGATTTCCTCCTTCAAACTCAATAGTTTAATTATGATTTTCCTGATTACAAGCTTCGTCTAGATTTCCAGACTTTCTTACTGCTTTCAAGTACACAAGGCGCTAAATAAATATGACACTGAGGAATGTTATCTGAATTTTCTCTTTGAAATGATGTTGGACACATCTTATTGGGACAGAAGTAATCACACACTCGCATGTAATGCTCAAAAATATTTATTTATAATTTAAAGATACAGTACAAGACAATAAGGTCAAAAATAATTTTTTTCTTATAACTCCTAGACAGTCAAAGTCCTTGGCAGCTCGAGTCTCAAGAAAGTCAGCTTAGACATATGGTATTCGGAGGATGCAAGAAAGAATAAATGCAGAGAAGGTAAGATCGCAGGCAATAAAGTCTCAAAGTACACCTAAGACAGGTACTAAAGCTAAGGAGGCAAAAGAATTAGAAATGAAAGCAGCTAACACTAAATTTTAAGGTAATTGAAGGCATCAAGGATCCCTGACATTACTTTACCGGAAACCAAGGACACCACCCAATTAAAATCTCATCTCTTTAAAGCCAAGTCTGTTTACCATTCATTCATAATATTTTCTGAGCAATAAGGTATCCAGCAGCCTACGTAATCCAGTAATTAAAACATTCCAGATTTGGTTACAATACTGAAGGTGGGTAGAGACTCAATAACCGGTGATACAGTTCTCTTTGGCAACAAGACTCTTCAGGATAGAATGAAAAGTCTGTTTTACCTGAAACATAATTAGAAGCTGGAATTCGGTGATTCTAGGAGACTAATACGTAGACTCCTCCATGTGTCTCTACACTTCAGCTTGCTCCCATGCAGTCTTTTTCCTAAATACAGTCAAACAGGCATCTAAGGTTAAACGTAATTGGTCGGTGGTACTGGGACAGAGTACCCTGGTGCAGGGGGAGAAGCGGCTGCAGCGGCTGCTGCTTCTGCCTCCTTTTTAGCTGCCTCGATCTGGGCAATGGCGTGGGCTGGCAAGGGCGGACCCACGGGCAGCAAGGCGGACTTCACATTGAAGCCATTAGCGTCGGCCACGAATGTGAACTGACCCGGAGTCCCGTCGGGGAAGGTGAACCTGTGGCCAGGAGACAATAAAAGACTCAGGTTTACAACAGATATGTGTACTACTTCCTATATATGATAACGTTCACCGTGCAGGGAATTATAATTTCCACGACCCGCCAGGTTGAGCAATGTGTGGCGAGTCGTTTATCGTCATGAGATTTAATCCACAGTATAGTGTGAACAATACAAAACACTTGCAGGAATGCAAGTGTTTTCCGGCTAAAATTGTAAGTCTCTAGACTGACATTCTAGACGGTTACACTGACTGGCTTGTGTAGGCTCACTCTAGTAAATACAGCTACCTTCACTGACAGATACTCAAGACAGAACCAGTGAGTGGAAGGTGCCAGTCTCTCCTAAGTGGGGCATTATTCTAGCCAGACTGAGGCGTCGAGGGACACGGATACTCACGACCATTCTCCCTGGGTAGCCACGGCGCCAGTCTCTCCCTGGGGGGCGCCCTGCTCCTGACGACTGGTGCCGTCAGCACTCTCGAAGTTGAACTTGTATGCTCCTGCCTCGTCAGGTCCCTCGCGCACGTCAACTAGGATCTCAACCGGGGGTTTTGGGGCGGCTACTGGAGCGCCGTAGGGTGGGGGAGGTGGTGGTGGGGGAGGAGGGGGAGGTCCGTAAGTTGGTGGAGGTGGTGGAGGAGGAGGAGGGGGTGGTGGTGGTGGAGGGGGTGGTGGTGGAGGGGGTACAGAATACTGGGGAGCGGCGATCGCCACCGTCAGACCCAGCAACAACAGCGTCAGCTGAAATAAATGAAAACTAAATGTTTAGCCGTCTAGCTATTGTCACTGGCAGTGGAACTAGAGAAACACATGTAGGGTATTAACCCTTAAACTGCTACATATGCCAGTTGGTATATGGTGGTATACAGACACGTCACGTCCAATACAACTTTAGCACTAAAGGAAACAGAGTATAGTTCTAATTATTTGTCCCTTATATTGCCGAGAATTACATCTCCTTAGATGATATTATAATCATATCATAATAATATGATATAATATTATTATGATATATAATAATAATAATAATAAATCTATTAATAATAATAAATCTAGTAATAATAATAAATCTATGGTAAACTGCTCCTCTGGTGAACCCATATCAGGAAAATTCCGTTGGTTAACTCGGTGGACAGAGGCTGTTACACTCTGTGAAATTTAACATTTAAAGAATGGAACTGGGTCTTCATGTTGGGTGAGCAATTGAATGTGTGGTCAAGACGTGTGTGTGTTGGAAATACCGACACAGACAGCAGCCATAAACCAGTACGACTTCTAGCTACTCATTACAACTAACGTTTGTGTTCCAGACAACAAACAGCACCAACTAACTCACAAGTGTGGTACAGCGAACGATAAGACAATGTAGCTGACTGGAGAACACAGCTGACTATCTATGTCTGCACTGAGGGACAGCTTGTGTTGCACAGTATCCCACCGATCTACTCAGGGCTGGAGTGTGTTTCACAGTGGCTAACTTACCACCTTCATCTTGCTGATGATCCCGGGGTGACAAGTGAGGCTCTTCATCCTGCCCAGCTCTTATATAGCTGGAGGTGGCTGAAGTGATTGTCTTTGAGCCGCCACGAGGACGTGGCCTGCATGCCTCTGTCCTCAGGTGCTACAATCTCTATGTGTATTCACCTACAAGTTCTCACCTAGATGTACTAGACTCAATATACTCACCTAGATGTGCTCTCCTTGATGCGTTTGCAGCCTTAAGGATCTATTCTTTCTATGCAGTAATTTGTTCACCCGTTTTTGTCATATTAATATATACAACTGCACCAAAGTGGCCTCTACACCGTCCTCGTCTAGTATATTCTATTTATTTATGAAATTTACACTGAAAAAATTTCTTTCTAACCTCTCTGATTCATTTGTCTCCAGCTTACAGTTTTTACATCGTGCTACTGTTTTTTACTTTGAACGTTGCTCTCCCTATCTACTTGGCCAATTCCCTTAAGAATCTTTACATCGGTATCATGTCTACTCTATTCATTATTGACTTCAGTGAAGAGAGGTATGGTTTCCACTGCCTTTCTTCACAACTTAGTCCCTTTAGCTCAGGAACGAGTTTTGTTGCATATCTTTGGACCATTTTTTGTTTTATTATCTGTTTCTCTAGACATGAGATTTCCATGTTCGAACAGCATACTTAATACGTCTCTCATACTTAACACGTCTCTCACACTTAACACGTCTCTCATACTTAATATATTTCTCATACATAATGTCTCTTATTCTTAATACGTCTCGCATAAGATGTATATATAATATGCAGACGATGAATCAAAATAACGTGGCGGATGATATGATGACCAAACCACACAACCAGGAGATGGAGAAATGACGACGTTTCGGTCTGTCATAGACCACACGACTTAATAATGGTCCAAGATGAGCCGAAACGTCGTCGTTTCTCAATCTTCTGATGTGTGGTTTAGTCATGTATATATAATATGCTTGGAATTCTTGTGTACAAGATCCTGAAGTCAACCTAGGCGTGTACGTGCGATTTTGACACGTGCTGCAGACTTTAATTCTGTGGAAGTGTACTTCTGGTGTTAGGTTTAGGGCACTGGACCTCTACTGCCACTTGTTGCCTGATGCTCTCAATGTCCATCTCAATCTGTATGAAAATCAGGTTTTGCCTTACTGGCTGGTTTTACTGTCTGTGTGTTTCCTTCTTAACATGATGCAATAGGAAGTACCTTTCTGCTGTTTCCACTAGTTTCGCTCTCCGTATCTCCTCCTCCTCTCTCCTCCTTTGGTTCCCAGCTAATTTAACCACGATTGAAATCTCCCATAATTTTCAGCTTCGCTTTGTATGAAAGGAATATTTCATCCAGACTTTGGATGATATTTATGCAAACTCTGTAATCTTATGTGGGTCTTCTGATGTTCACTGATGAATTATTCATATTTTTTCCCTTCACTTGTGATTGCTGCGACATCCTGTGCATGCTTGGTCTCTTCCTCAATACTGATCTCGTTAATGCTCCCGTCTCTTCTACCCAGCACTGCTGTTCCCCTACCTCCTCCCCTGCTTTCTTTCTCTTCACGCGGTCTGGTTATTTCTTGTGAATATTATGTTGCAATCATTTCAGTTATTTTAGCTTCAGCAAGTATATTGCTTGTGGAATGGTCTCCTTTCTTTAGTTTAATTTACAGCGTTTCACATTCCATCGTCGTTAGTGTAGCAGATTTTTGGGTTCAATTGTGTTACTCTGTTCTCTGTCCTGGCAGATCCTGACCTAGATGTTGGGGTACTTGGTTCAGGTGCAGAATGTGGGACGTGATGGAGGCGGGGGGGGGAGGGAGGGAGCAGAGCTATGAAGTGCAGGGCAGCGAAGTACTGCTGTTTGGTAGAGTAAGGTGTAAAGAGAGACGATGTGATCTTGTTGTCAGAGTAGCGATGGAGGTATGTTTTGGTGGGCAGGAATTGTTATGAACGATTGAGGGGGAAAGAGATGTTCCATTAACCTGGGTTCGAGGAGACTTGAACCGTGAACACCACGTGTGTAACGCCGAAGCTCTATTGGCCTCGCATCTCTTTTTTTTGGGGGGGGGGAGAAGAGATGTGTTTAGTGGTAGAGGATTCTTGGCAGAGGTTTGCTTTAAGAAAGCATGTTGTTATGGCGCCTTGACTTTGCTCTCTGTCGACTCTGGTTTGTGTTAGTAACTGTCTGCTGGCCTGTTTACTCTTCTATATGATCTTGCTTTCATGTTATCATTTCTTCTGGTTTCTTACTCTTAACGAGACTGGACGGGAGAGCGAGTCTCACTTCATGCAGATCCGCGTTAAATCCCTGACCGTCTAAGTGGATTGGACTCCATTCCTCCCCTCCAACCCCCCCCCCTCGATCCCATTCCAGATCCTTCTCCTTATCCCTTCTAGGGGCTATATAGCCGTAATGGTTTGGCGCTTTATCCTGATAGTTCCCTTCCCCTCTGATAGGATTACATTCCCTGTCTGCTTTCTAATGTTTATGGAGTTTGCTATTTGCAACCTCCATCATCCTTTCTAACTACCTTACTGCTTTTGTAAATACTTCGTCTCATTTGTTCCCATTTTCAGGTTCAGGTCCTCAAATTTATCATCGATAGGTTTTAACATCGCTTGACATTTGCCATTATTAAATGCTTCCTTGGCTTTGGTTTTCCGAATTTTATATACAAACTTATCCAGTTCTCCTTCACATTTCTCATTCCTGTTTACAGGCCCATCCTATAGGTACTCATATAGTACAAATTTCCTATCCATTTCTGCCGTCTATTTATGCAAGCTCTCTTAATACTGTTTATCTTTGACAAGCTTTCAAAGCTGTCAGTCAGGCAGCCAGCGTCTGGTAGGCACCAGACCTCAGAGGCCAGAGCTTGGCACCAACAGTTGAGCAATATACCTTGGCACTGTGCGTGTGACTTCTAAATTATTTGTGCAGGGTTGCACTTCAGCTCCTGACCCCGCCTTGTAAACGCTATTTGAAGGCACTGATTCAGTTCCTGAGTTTCTTATATTCCGTTCACGGCAAGAAATTATATGGTCATATCACGTCTATTATTCGTCTTGGGACTTTATGATGGTCCGTTGTGTTAGGGACTTGTGGCCGCATATCAGTACTCAAGTTATCCATAACATGATTTCCTCCTTCAAACTCAATCCTTTAATTATGATTTTCCTGATTACAAGCTTCGTCTAGATTTCCAGACTTTCTTACTGCTTTTAAGTACACAAGTCGCTAAATAAATATGACACTGAGGAATGTTATCTGAATTTTCTCTTTGAAATGATGTTGGACACATCTTATTGGGACAGAAGTAATCACACACTCGCATGTAATGCTAAAAAATATTTATTTATAATTTAAAGATACAGTACAAGATAATAAGTTCAATAAATATTTTTTTCTTATAACTCCTAGACAGTCAAAGTCCTTGGCAGCTCGAGTCTCAAGAAAGTCAGCTTAGACATATGGTATTCGGAGGATGCAAGAATGAATAAATGCAGAGAAGGTAAGATCGCAGGCAATAAAGTCTCAAAGTACACCTAAGACAGGTACTAAAGCTAAGGAGGCAAAAGAATTAGAAATGAAAGCAGCTAACACTAAATTTTAAGGTAATTGAAGGCATCAAGGATCCCTGACATTACTTTACCGGAAAGCAAGGGCACCACCCAATTAAAATCTCATCTCTTTAAAGCCAAGTCTGTTTACCATTCATTCATAATAATTTCTGAGCAATAAGGTATCCAGGAGCCTACGTAATCCAGTAATTAAAACATTCCAGATTTGGTTACAATACTGAAGGTGGGTAGAGACTAAATAACAGGTGATACAGTTCTCTTTGGCAACAAGACTCTTCAGAATAGAATGAAAAGTCTGTTTTACCTGAAAAATAATTAGAAGCTGGAATTCGATAATTCTAGGAGGCTAATACGTAGACTCCTCCATGTGTCTCTACACTTCAGCTTGCTCCCATGCAGTCTTTTTCCTAAATAAAGACAGTCAAACAGGCATCTAAGGTTAAACGTAATTAGTCGGTGGTGCAGGGACGGAGTACCCTGGTGCAGGGGGAGAAGCGGCTGAAGCGGCTGCAGCTTCTGCCTCCTTTTTAGCTGCCTCGATCTGGGCAATGGCGTGGGCAGGCAAGGGCGGACCCACGGGCAGCAGGGCGGACTTCACATTGAAGCCATTAGCGTCGGCCACGAAGGAGAACTGACCCGGAGTCCCGTCGGGGAAGGTGAACCTGTGGCCAGGAGACAAGAAAAGACTCAGGTTTACAACAGATATGTGTACTACTTCCTATATATGATAACGTTCACCATGCAGGGAATTATAATTTCCACGACCCGCCAGGTTGAGCAATGTGTGGCGAGTCGTTTATCGTCATGAGATTTAATCCACAGTATAGTGTGAACAATACAAAACACTTGCAAGAATGCAAGTGTTTTCCGGCTAAAATTGTAAGTCTCTAGTCTGGCATTCTAGACGGTTACACTGACTGGCTTGTGTAGGCTCACTCTAGTAAATACAGCTACCTTCACTGACAGATACTCAAGACAGAACCAGTGAGTGGAAGGTGCCAGTCTCTCCTAAGTGGGACATTATTCTTGCCAGACTGAGGCGTCGAGGGACACGGATACTCACGACCATTCTCCCTGGGTAGCCACGGCGCCAGTCTCTCCCTGGGGGGCGCCCTGCTCCTGACGACTAGTGCCGTCAGCACTCTCGAAGTTGAAGTTGTATGCTCCTGCCTCGTCAGGTCCCTTGCGCACGTCAACTAGGATCTCAACGGGGGGTTTTGGGGCGGCTACTGGAGCGCCGTAGGGTGGTGGAGGTGGGGGAGGTGGTGGTGGGGGAGGAGGTGGAGGTCCGTATGTTGGTGGAGGTGGTGGTGGAGGAGGAGGGGGTGGTGGTGGTGGAGGGGGTGGAGGTGGGGGTGGTGGTGGAGGGGGTACAGAATACTGGGGAGCGGCGATCGCCACCGTCAGACCCAGCAACAACAGCGTCAGCTGAAATAAATGAAAA